CCATATTTAGTGATTAGTCAACCTAACCAAGGGATTCCAGTCTACAAAGTCCAGAGGGAAGATGGAGTTGGTAGACTAAGGATACTGCATAGAAATCTACTCTTACCCATTGGACATGTTACAGAATTTAAACCAAAGATAGATTCCAAAGAAAAGAAGCCAGTTCCTGCTATGCGGAAACCCACACCAAAGCCAAGGACTAGACAGAATAAGAGGGAAAATGGGGACACACAGTCCGCTGTTGATACCCAGTCAGATACAGATGATGAGGAAGCAGTCATTATAACAATACCAGGTGGAACACAAGGTCATCACATTGATGCCCCTAACATTGTGTTACCTGAAGTGGAGACAGAAAGTGGTATTGTGGATGAAGATCTTCAAACAGTTGGGGACGCCCATCAGACTGGAGAAGATGTATTGCTAGAGAATACAGATAATGAGACTGCTATGGAACCTGCACCACAAGCAGATGATCCAGAATCTGAAGCTGAACCAGCAGCTGTTGAACAAGAAGATAAAGCTGAACCTGAGGCTGAACAGGATGATAAAGTTGAACCTACAGGAGAAGCTGAAGTAACAGATGAAGTTCAACCAGAACCAGATGATATAAGTTCACCTATTGCTGCTCCACGCAGATCAACTAGGGCTAGAAGAGAGCCAGATTGGTTAAGGAGTGGAGAGTATGTTCGAGTACAACAGGCTATTGATCCGCATTGGAAAGTAACATTGCTACAGAACATCTTGCAGGACGAGCGCTGTGAAGGATTTGAACGAGGTGAGATTTTAAAAACTTTACTCGATATTGTAAAGAAAACTTAAATTTGTAAATTTCAGCATGATTTTAATATGATTTTTAATTTTACATTCTTCGTATGAGAATGACGAGGACGTCATTTTTCGGAGGAGGGGAAGAATGTAGCAGTGTGTTTTTAATTGTATATATTATGAAACATACAATATGGAATAAATAGGTGTATTATTGATATACCGAGTAAATGAAATTGAGCTTAATATAAAACTTAGATCCACCCCTATACCAATACTTGTGAGCGATAAAGTTCAAGGTCATTTCTCTTGGGGTTCTGTCTTTTTATTGGTTGTGGTTCTGAGTTGTTTTCAGTTGCTTTAGTTAGACTACTCAGAGGTTTTGGCCAGGTTGGCAGTGTTGAAATTTACTAGAGTTTATAGACAAAGAATTTTAAAGACTTTCATGACTTGAGACCTTTAGAACAGACCTGGAAGTAAGTATTTACTTTATTAACATTCTTTATCTTTATAATACCTTTATTTAGCTAATATCACTGTTTAAAAGAAGAGTGAAAGTTTAAATAATGAATTAAAGCTTAATCTTCAGTTTTACATCTCAGAGATATATATTTATTAGAACCATGAGTGTTGTAATATATAGTACAGTATGTAGTATTTCTTATTAGATATGTAAGCTGAAGCATCCAGTAGTTTTTGGTGTTTTAAGGAATGGGCCTTGTCCCATAGATAGGTAATTAGCATATGTTCCCTTTTGTATATTTTAAAGTAATAATATTATATCATTGCATTAATTGAAATGTGATTGTAAAATATGTGTATAAAGATTAACTATACAGTGATTTATTTATATGCTAAATATTTAAATTAAGAGAGATAACTCTTAACTGTTAAATTTATCTTTTGTACATCAAAATAGGTAAAATAGAATGCATGTATACATTTGTTATTATTTCATGTGATATTCATTGTTATTGTTTTATTTTATAGGGCCATTCATTCATTTACTTGATGAACATCCATATTAAACATATATGAACCCTTAGACAGGAGTTTGGTTGTTATTACATCCTATATATAAACCACCCCTGCAACATTACGTCTTAGGTATCGAGAATCGAACCCGGGCCTCCCGATCACGAAGCGAACGCTCTACCACTAGGCTACCGTGACCGGTCAATTGTTCTTGAAAAGAAGATATTTACAGACTTGTCCTATTAATTCCCAGGTAAAGCTCTGATTATAGCCATTGCGGCCCCATCCTATCCCCCAGGGGTCATGATTTGAACAAATTTGAATCTATCTGAGGATGATTCCACATGAGTTTCAATTTTCCTAGCATAGTGGTTTTTAAAAGACTTTTCTTATATATTGTAAAACTTTGATCGGCCTTTTTGGCCCCACCAAACCCCCGGGGTCATGCTTTGAACAAACTTGAAATTAAAATACCTGAGGATGATTCCTCATAAGTTTCATTTTTCCTGGCTCAGAGGTTCTTTAAAGGATTTTTTTAAGAACGCCATTACTTTTTCTCTAATAAAAATTATCCCCCTTTCAAAAAGGTATGGCGCTTCATTAATTCGAACATACTTGAATCCCCTTTACTTTAGGATACTTTGTGAATATTCTAGTTAAAAGTGGCCCAGTGGTTCTTAAGAAGAAGATGAAGATGTGAAAAGTAAACAAGGATAACGACGACAGACAACGGACAAATTTGGGTCGGAAAAGCTCACTTGAGCCTGCAAACTTGACCTGTTACTCATAAAGATATACTCAAATAGCAAAATTCAGCTCAATATCTGCAAGTATCCAGAAAAAAATTACAGAAAACCAAGTAGGACAGACTGAAAAAAACCTATAGTCCCATCCGGTTTCACCGGTAGGGACTAATTACCACCCCTGGTCGTATTTATAACACATCGACGATTGCATGAACAGTGTTTCATTTTGTTAAATATTGAAACAGCTTGGTACGCCTTAAGTATTATTGGGATTATTCACTTAACTGACAACCGGAGGTCATACACTTTTCAAAATTCATTTTAAATCCTTGTCAAGTATGTATTTATTTATCTTGATAATAAAACATTTGACTAAATAAATTTGCATCTAAAAGTTGATTTATGTAGTAGTGTGGGGAGTGTTACTTTACTTAAGTAAAAGATAGAAAGAAAAGATGTAGACAATTTCTAAACCCTTGTGAGGTTGTGCAGCTTAAGTTAAGATATAGCAAAGGTTTCAAAGTTTAAAAGGTTAAAATTCCAGTAACGAATAAATTTTTTCTGACGAGTTCGCCCCCTCCCCAAAATAACCCTACCATATCTTGAAATTTGCGGGTGTTTGACTTTACGGCAACAAACAGTAGGAAAAGGCGGTGCAACCGGCATAGAAAGGAAAATTATAGCATCAATAGCAAAAATAAAATACTCAAAAAAGTAGGAAAACATTGTATCCTTTTTCAGAATCTGCTAAATCAAATGCATACTATTAGCTAGAGTACGATGTTAATTCCAATATTTAAAGTGTTTTTTGGCTGGACGAAATAGAAATGTATTATAAATTTGCGTTTGGTTATGCTTATGTCATGTTGAAAAAAATTGATTTACTGCATGTGTGGCAGAAAATACTTTGCCGTGGTGTAAATTTTGTATTTAGTGCAATCCGGTAAATTCAAAATTTATAACGTCAAATCAGAGTCTTATACGACAGGCACGTAGCATCAATTTGAGAGGGGGGGGGGCAACCTGAGAACATTTTTTTTTTAATTTACCCAAAAAGTTGACAAGCCCCCCCCCCCCAAAAAAAAGAAAATTGAACATTACTCAAAAATCCTATTTCGTGGTGGGGGGGGGGGGGGGTCGGGGGGGGTGGGTGGGGGGAGGTAGTAGCCAACTTTTTTCAAGGCAAACTTCCTTTCACTTCCAATTTCTTCCTATATTTTCTTGCTATGTATATACTGTTGTAGAACGTGGGGGGGGGGGGGCAACCATCTTTTCAATAGACATTTCCTATAGTAAAGGAAATATTCGGGAAAAAAGTGGGGGGAGGGGCAACCCCCCCCCCCCCCGGATACTACGTGCCTGTACGAGGTATATACATGAATATAGGATCTCCCATGATTTGTAGTTTGGCATGATTTTTATCCAGCGAATTGTGTATATCCCAAGTCATGGCGAGTGGATAAAACACAGGAGTTGGATATATAAAAATCATATCCAACAACAAAGCATGGCAGATTCTTTTCATCCCAAGTTTAATACTTCACTACCAATGTTTTACAGTTTTATGTAGGACTCTGCTTTAATTTAGTTCACACTAACGCAAAAAATACTGTGAGGTAGTCATAACACCAAATGTTCTATTTTAATAAAAGTTTGTGGGGAGACAATAACTTTAAAACTTTAAAATAGGTCAGGTGCAGGTAATTGATTGAAATATTCGACTGAGATACTTCCATTTAAGGTGTGTTTGACAGGGTCCTGCTGGTTAGGTCGATCGAGAAAATGGTTTGCTAAAGTGGGAGTAATCGAAATTATTCACATGTTAGTTATTTCTATAATCTTAAACAGATGCACATAATTTTCGCTGTAATATTCAAACTGAAAATTAAAGTCATGGGGGGCAGTCTATTTTTGGAAAAAAAGATGTGTAAATGAATAAAGAAATATACACTGCAATTTGCTTTTATCCCCCGAATGGAAGTAAGGAGGAATGTTTTCACTAGCTCTTCTTTGAGATATTTTATAAAATATTTAACTAGTTAATATTTTTATCACATACGATTATATTTTTTCTAAAAAATGGATTGTTACGAATATTTAAGCCTTACAGATATAAAAAATCTTAGAAATAAAATGCGAAAAAGTATTTCGTTTGCAAATTTTAAACTTGCAAATCAATTCATAAAGAAATACATGAATAATTAAAAAAAGCAATAATTTTAATCATTCTTTCAAAATTCTTAAATATTTTAATTTAACAAAAATCGCAGTCAATTTTTTTAATACAATATATTAATTTCAATTAAGGGAGTAAAAAGACGTCTCAAACTTTATGACGTCACGGGAGACATATATGTACCTGCTGCTGCCAGTGGTAAAAGGACATATATGTGCTTCCCGCAGCCAAACATTAAATTAGAGATAATCTTTTTCCGACTGTCCCCTTTCAACTTGTAGAAAAAATGTAACTAGCCGGCAATGAATGTGCAAATGATATTTCCCCCAACATACCTTTATTGCAATGATTGTGCCAACTGTTGATCGCTCGTCGTTTGTTTTTTTCAAAACTCTTAGCCCTACAACTGCAGTGTCTGTAAAGATGAAATATAAACTGTGTAGCTATTGTAACAAATGCACTTTTCTTGATTTTTTTTAAATCTACACACCATTTTAATAAATAAAAGGTCTTTACACTTTAATTTAACAATCATTTTACTGTATAAAGTTAAGCTGTTTAATATATAATTAAGGGATTTCGGACAGTTATAAATAATTGTATACTAGTTAAAAACTTATTGCTAGATAACTATACAAGTGAAAGAAGAAGGTACGGTTTTAGCTTTGCATTGCGCCCCAAAAATGTAATGACATCAAAAAGTTTTTAAACTAGCTTAAATATTAGTTAAATAAATGACTGTGATAAATCAGGAAAGAATATGGCATGAGATTGTGCCCACAAGTTATAGGTAATTGTTTTTAAAAATGTCTTGCAAATATTCTGTACGAAAGCAAAAGTGAAAGTAGTGTAGCCCTACTTGCATAATACACATTCCTTTGCTTGATATTGTAATTTCTAGTTTGGTGTCCCATATTAAAGACCAGTTTATTAATATAAAGTCACAATCTAGAAGAAAAAATATATATAATTTGTTTTCAAAAGGATCGTCATAATAAAAACAAGATAGAGCCCTCTGATTGTTCAAAACGCTACCGTGATTCTTTACCAGACTCTCTGATTAACGGAGAAGCTGAAAGTCTGGTTGAACGAGACTAATACCTTCAGTGATTTTTTGTAAATGGTCTTCAATGTATGGTACTTCTGCCGGTACTTTAAACTTTATGTCCACTTCTCCATTTCTTCCAACTCTGCATCTTTTAGTAGGCCCATCTTCCCAGATGACTTTTGCGTCGCAATTATATAGCGGTATGCTATTTTCCATATCGATCACTCTTCCTGCAATATATAATATATGGTCGCAGGATGATACAGGTTGCAATATAGATGTTGTCATGTATTGTTTTTATCATATATTTGAATGTTATGTTCTCCAAACGAAGAAACATATTGTTTGTTTCTTTCTTCGGATTTTTCTTTGTCCTGGACACTTTTTGTCCACGAGTGTTCTCTTTAACTACTCATCTAATCTAAGTGAAACTTTCTTATGGTCACTGTAGATTTGCGTAAGGAAGGTCATTTTGCTCGCATGTGCGCGCACGTGTCACACGTAACACGTAAATCTTTAGAGGATTGCTCTGGAATTCATAACCTAAGGATATATTAGTAGTATAAACATGACGTGTTCAAAATGGCAAGATCTCATGCACATGCACTTCGATCCTATTGGTTGAAACTTAAGTCTTGACAAAATCCTTTGAAATTTTTAATATAGTCATAACTCTAAAAAATCTACAGCACGATATATAAGAATAATCATAGCAAGAACGCACGCACATGTACGTGTACTGCAATCTGATTGGCTAAACTTTAAATGCCTTAAACTTTTTTTAAATCTCAATAACACAGGATGAAATTTCGAATATGAAAGATGTAATGAATGCCTACATTATGCCACAATCAAAATTAAAGTCAGGGCATGCATGCACATGCGCACTCGCACAATGTTTTAAACGACCCGTATCCCGTATACCAGATGTTTAGATGTTCATGCAGCAAAAAAAACTTTTCAATGTCAAGAAACTTAAGTCAAGGTCATTGGAAACATTTTTTAAAATGTTGATATTAGCTATGTAATAAAATAACCTTGACCTATGCTCTTGAAATCGACCTTAACCCCTCAGCTAAACCCAAAAGGAAAAAGAAACATGAAGTGCATGTATCTAGAAACATGTTTCAATATAAATTTCGGTTTGCAGGAGAGAAGGTAAAGAGGTGTTGGTCGTTAATGACCTTACCCTTTGATCCAAAGATCACAATAAATCTGAAGTTCTTGGAGTACTAGGTAGATACAATACTTAACTCCCACATTAAATAGGTTAAGAATAACCCCCCCCCCCTTACAACAACAAAAAAAAAAACAACAAAACAACACAATTATAGCAAACTAGAGAATCTCTGGGAAGCTCAAACAACACCTTGGATCGACAAATAATTTCAAATGAAAAAAAAATATTGGATGTGATAGCAAACAGTATTTCGTGTGTAAAGTAGAGAGACATTCTGGAAAAGTGTAATAAAGGGTGCTGATACAGGGTAGGTCATAAAGAGTGCGTGAATGTGTTCATATCAGGGATGCAAAAATCATGTATTACATAACAAATGTTTAACAAGAGCTAGATGTTTGTCAAACACTTATGTCCTTTGCCCCAAACTAGAATTTTTCGAAGTCAAAAAGACAGCAGCAAAGCCATTGCAATATGCCCTCCCTTCTTCAAATGGGGGCATACTAAGTAAAACTATCTGCTGTAGCTGACCAGAGTATTTTCCAAAGTTGACAGCTTTCGTCCCTTGTCAAGTATATGTATACATTTTTTTATATGTCTTTTGTAAAGTGTTTTTTTTTCTTGACTGAAAGCGTCAGAAGCATTTTATTTTAAGAATTTAAAGTGTATTTTAATTGATTCATTTATTTATTTTTAATGTAACAATCCAGAAGACATGTCCCTATGGAGTAAACCACAAAATTAGAAATTATAAGAGTCGCAAAAGCAATTATATGAACTCTTAAGTTATACAAGGAATTAGGAAAATTTTGAAAAAAAATATGCACTTTAATGTTTTTTCGTTGTTATTGTAGTTAGAACTTTCACAGAAAAAACTTTTTGATTTTTGAATACGTTGGCATGGATATAAGAAATATGATACATTATATCTTCAGTGTTAAAAAATGTATGTAAATTTAAAAATAAGTGTTACCTTCAATTTTTGGACCTTTTCTCGATTTCACATGTGCTCCAATGAAAATTCCACTCCCTCTCAGATAATCTACATTGGCCCTAATTCCTACATTGTCACTGAAAAGAAAATTTTCAAAAATCCGTTGATTTTTCATTCAGTTTTTTTAATTGACGTTGTATTTTTTACCACTAGAGGTCTCTGACGAAAATGTCGGTCTATACTTTAGACAACAAAAGAGAAAAGTTATTGTAAGTAGCATTTGGACATAAAATGAAATTTTGAGGAGCAATGACTAGAACAATAATTCTTGGTTTCAGTCTTTTGTAGAAACCTTTTTTGCAATCTACTTAAACTGTAGGTGGAGTAGCGGTTTGAAAATATTTCAGATTTTTAGAGTTAGTTGGCATGGCAACACAATTTACAAAACACTAGGTTTACAATTTTAACAATTAAGAATGTACACTACCCAGGATGCTCCCGTATAAGTTTCAGTTTTCCTCGCCCAGTGGTTTTTGAGAAGAGGATTTTTAGTTTTTATGCCCCAGTCTGTCTCTCTGTTTTTTCTGCAAAAACTTTAATCTTGCCAATAATTTTTGATTTAGAGAAGCTAGGCCTTTCATATTGCACAAATGTATTCCTTGTGACAGGACCTTTTATTGGATACCACCAAATTTGACCTTGGCGTTGGAATTTTACCAATTTTTACAAATAAATTCTAAACTTTTACTTTGGCCATATCTTTTGAACAGTATTATACTTCACATATGTATTCTTTTTTGAGAGACCTTTCATTGAATACTAACAACCTTGACCTTTAAAACTTGACCTCGGTGATTTCTCTACTTGTGAAAAATTTTTAACCTTGGCCACAACTTTTCACATATGTAAATCTTGTGAAAGGACTCTTCATCTGATACTAAGAACTTTGGCCCTTTGACCTTGGAATTTTACCTACTTTTAAACAGTAAACATTGACCATAACTTTTAAAGGGTTAGGGCTAGTGCTTACAGACTATTAATATGTAATCTTTCTGTCAAGACCTTTCATCTGATAGCAAGAACTTTAACCATTTGACCTTGACGTTGGAGTTAGACCAAAAAAAAATTTAAAAGAACGTGGGCACTTTTGATGGGCATTCGGCAGGAATCTGGGCGTACTTGAAAAGTGAAAATTTTAACGACATGTCACATGAAATTTTAACATTTTTTTACGCAACTAGGTAAAGGGCTACCCAAGGATAGAGCAGTGTATGCAGAACTGGATTATGACGTCACGGTGAAATTGTACAAATGAATCTCGGCCAATAAATAATAATTTTCTTTTTCATATACTCTTACATACTTTGATTTCTCATGATTATTGTTAATATTAGTCAATGTGTAACTTATCTAGTCAGTATAACTCTAATCGAATGTAAAATCAAAGCCAACTTAATCTCGCTGTACTAACAGTTATGACGTCATAGGCAAGTTTGACACGTAGTTTCTCTGTACTTGAGACGCAGATAAAGCTAATAGTGGAACTGAAAATATGAAAATTAAATCTATATAAGCGTGATCTTACTACAATTGATTGATAGTTTTGAATGCATCAATCAATAGTTCACAGTCTTATTTATTAAGTACTATTAAGTCTCTTATAAAGCCGCAGTCATGCACTTTTATATACAGACGTACTACAATCATATGTACAACCCCTTCAAAATCTCAAAAGTTCAACGATATCCGCTTGATTATAAATTATAATATTTTATACACATGTAGATACTGTCCCTACTATTTTAAAAAGTGCTGGGAGCAAGTTGTGCGCTGTCTATTTTTTCCGTAGTTTTACATTTCTTAAATGCGTATAGTGTAAATGCACATACTTTATCAAAAGTCGGCTAAATTTTATATAATTCCCGGGCAGTGAGAAGTTGCTCCCAGCACTTTTCGGGTTAAGAAATTTGTCTTCAATAAAACACAATCAATTTCATAGTGAAAAATTATCTGTATATCGTTGAACTTTTACGATCTTTGCATCCGTACATATTTTTTTCTAATTTTAAACATGTCACGTGACAAACAGCTGATGCACATGAAATCGCGTTGGCCGAACTCGGTTGAGACCCCATATATACATATGCATTAGTATAGTTCCCATTAAATTAAAACTAATGCTAATAAATAAAACATTAACATTATATTAATTTTTTCGGAATATTTTAAGGTTTACTAGTATTTCCTATGGGCGGCCTTAACCTAGCTGCGTATTTTTTGGGTTCTTGTGCAACAGGAAAGGAAAATATTTTCCTGAAATTGAGCTCTGATTAACTAAAAAATAACTTGAAAATTGGCCAGATCAGACATTTGGTACAAAAAGGTACATCTTTAGACACGTTTTTCTAAAATTTTTCTATCTCTCGGTCTTCTCTCAATGATTTTGAAACGTTATTCTTGTGTATTTAAATTCAAAGAAACCAATATATTTTTTTTAAAAGATGGAGAGAAGAGCCAGAGACCATGAACTATTAACTTTTCTTAAAAAATCTAAATGTATGAATGTTACGGAAGCCCAATTAGGACCTATCAAAAAATATTTTTGAATTCGTTATAACAATTTTTTAGAATTCGTTATAACGAATTAAATTTGTTATAACAGATTTATTGTTAATTTGTTATAACAGATTTATTAAATTCGTAATAACAAATTTAATTTGTTATAACAATTCACTGAATTCGTAATAACGAATTTAATTTGTTATAACAGATTCATTGAAATTGTATTTTCGTGTTTAAAAAGTTTAATCTTTGCTACAGTGTATGTTGCCATACGGGGCCATCAGTATTTCACAAACAAATCTTGTTTTTCTATATATTTCTATTTAAAACTTTGATTTCCTATTGTGGCGCCGCCCTAACCCCGAGGGTTATGATCTGAACAATCTACACTAAAATTTGCAAAAAATTAACCCAGGATGCTTCCACATCAGTTTAAGCTTTTCCGACTCAGTGGTTCTTGAGAAGAATTTTAAATTTTGTACCTATGTATTTTTGTAAGACTTTGATTCTCCATTATGTTCCCGCCCGAACCCAAAAGGTCATTCTTAAAACAATTTAGAATCTACACTACCTCAGTGTGTTCCACAAAAGTTTCAACTGTTGTGAACGACTGGTTCTTGAGAAGATTTTTAAAGTTCTTTTTTTCTTTCTTTTCTTTTTTTCTTTTTCTTCTTTTTTTTAATTAATTATTATTTTTTTTTTTTTACATATTTCTGTGTAAACTTTGATTCCCTTCACTGGCCTGCCCAAACCCGTGGGTCATTATTTTTACAATTTAGAATCTACACTACCAAAGGATGCTTTCAAAGAAGTTTCAGCTGTTTTGGCCCAGTGGTTTTGGAGGAAGAGATTTTAAACCTTTTTTCCTACATATTTCTATGTAGTATTTTAATTCCATATTCCCCGCTTAAACCCCGGGGTCATGTTTTGAACAATTTAGAATCTACACTACCCAAGGATACTTCCATAAATTTCAGCTTTTATGGCCCAGTGGTTCTTGAGGATAAGATTTTAAATGCGCCTACCATTTTCTGTCTTTTCTTGATTATGTCCCCTTGTGAAGGGTCTTGATCCTTTAATCATTTTAACAATTTACACTCCTGTTTACCTAGGGATGCTATGTACCACGTTTCGTAAACATCGGCCTTAACAAGGCCAAACAAATTTTGAAAAAAATAAAGGTTAAATATTTAATATTTTCCATATTTAATCAGGAGCGGCGATAGCGTAATGGAGAAGGCGTTTGCGTTCAAAACCAAAGGTCATGGGTTCGCGCCCCCACTACGGCGATTTTTTTATTTGGATTTTGAATTTCGTTCTTTTTCATTATTTTTACCAAATCAAAATAAAACGAACTCTACATTTTTAATAATGATTACAAATCGCTAAAAAAATTATTTTTCACCCATATAAACAATATAATCGACTGCGTAATGTGACTTAATGGTAGCTTAATGGAGTTGGGGCATTTAGCACCTGTAAGTCTACCTTAATGGTGGTCTAAAAGTAACCATTAAGAACCTGTAAGCCACCATTAAGTAACCATTAAGCTACCATTAAGTTAGAAATTTGGCTTAATGGTGGCTTACATGTTACTTAATGGAAGCTTACTTGGGGCTTATAGGTGCTTAATGGTGGTTTAAAGGCGGCCTTTAAGCCACCATTAAGCACCTATAAGCTACCATTAAGTCAAGTTTAATGGAAGCATTTCATTTTGTGCTTTTACACGATGTAATTTAGAATATATGACAGAAACAGAATACAAAAAATACCAAATAAGTATAAAAATCATGGCAATTTTTCAGAATGCATTGATACCTATCATTTTTAACCTGAAATGTATTAGTTGATCAATTTGTAATTAGAAAATGCATGGCTGATATTCTAATTCGCTTTTTCTGCAAAAATATTGGAGATTTGACGTTTTTCCCTATATAATTTGATTAACTTTAAATTTTAACTTTTAACAAATCCTGTCGATAAATTTACATAACTTTGTGGATTCAGAGATACTTTTATGAGTACTTTTGATTATTTAACTGCTAATTTTATAAACCTGAGGATCGGTCTACCTTAAATGATTTTAACAGAAATAACTTTTTTTAGTAACAACGGCAACATCGTTTATCGAATTCAAAAACGGATATACAGGATTATGTATCTTAGTGTAGTCTACTTGTGTGCCAAGTTATATTGAAATCAGTGCAAAACTGTAGGAGGAGGGGCATTTTGAATGTTTTTAACATAAATTTCTAATTTTAGTTAACAACGGCAACATCGTTCATCAAAATCAAAAAACGAAACACAGAATGATGTATCTTAATGAAGTCAACTTGTGTGCCAAGTTATATTGAATTCAGTGCAAAACTGTAGGAGGAGCATTTTGAATGTTTTTAATAGAAATATACATGTTTAGTAACAATGCAATATCGTTTGTCGATATTAAAAACCGATATACAGAATTATGCATCTTAAAGTAGTCTACTTGTGTGACAAATTATATTGAAATAAGGCCAAATCTGTACGTGGAGTAGCAATTTCAATGTTTTTTTTTAACAAAAATTCTTTTTTGTAG